CGCCGCGCGGGCGCGGGGGCCGCGCCCTGCGCCAGCCCCGGGGGCTCCATCGCAACCGGGCACGAGGAGCCCGCGGGGAACGGGGCGGGTTCCTGACCCGCATCCCCCCCGCACCGCCGAAGCGGGCCGGGCTGAGCGGGGCCGCCCTGGCACCGGGAGGGCAGGGAGAAATCACAGGAGCAGGCAGCAGGAACTGTAAGGCAGAAAAACTCCTTTTGTCTTGGGAAAGAAGCCCCTTCCTCCCTGAAATAGCTTTTCCTGCCACCCGGAAGGAGATGGGATATTCTGCAGGGCATTATTTCAAAGGATTGTGTATCTTTCTTTATTTATTTACTGAAATCATGTGACAAAGCTTGAAATGCTTGTGAATGGCTTGATATGTGGGAAAATAAATGTGCAAACCCTGTCCCCAGGTCTGGCAGCAGGACTGGCTGAGCTGCTGCCCAGGCCTCCCCTCAGTACCAGCTCCGGTCACTGCACGAGGCAGTGCAGAAAAACGCCGGGTTTTCTGCAAGCTGAAAACCCGCGGGTGAAGCTGCAAGTGGTGGGAGCCCTGGGACGTGTTTCTCACAGGAGCTGGCCTTCCATGCGTGGCTGTAGCCAGGAGCAGATGCAGGCAGCTGCCCAGCCCAGGGCAGACCTGCAGGATGCCATGAACACTGACTTCTGCAGGTGTGGGCCTGAAGCACTTCCAGGCTTGGAAGTGAACACCAGGTTATTCTCCAGGTTAGATGTTCTCCTTGCTTCCCTTGCCCTCTCTGCTTAACCCTTCCAGGTTTGAAAATTATTCTCTGCTTGTTTCTGTTTCTCAGAAAAATCAAATTCTGATACCAAGGGAATGGGATGGGAATGGGTTTATTTCGTTACTATTTTAGCACAAGCATCCTGGTATTTCTGACTGCAATTTCTCATAATAGTATTAAAAGAAGGAGATGTGTTGACTTATAGCTGCTCCAAAGCATTTTTCAGGTTCTGAAGGACTGATGGGTCCTTCCAGGCTGTGACACCACTGCTTGCTGCACAGCCTTGACTTCTCTTACCAGGGTGTTGCAGCCAGCTGGGAAAGAGCAGTTTGCAGGCCCACAAGGAGAAAACATCCTGGACAGATGTTGGGCCAGACCTAGGCAGTCTCAGCTGAAGCTTTCCAGACTGGCTTTGGCCCGTTCCATTTCATGCAGAAAACTGTAGAACTGGGGCAAAGTTAACTCTGCAGGAAAAAAACAAGAGGCATCAAGATTCCAGGTTACACTTTCTAAGACTGGAAAAGCTGTTCTGGTTGTGCTGTGGAGGGACTAGTGTTCCCCTGAGCTGGGCAGGATTAGATCCTTTGGCTCTCTCAGCTGTTTCTTCACACTGGCTGGGCTGAGTGGGGATCCAGGCTTGGATCCTCCCAACAGCAACCAACACTTGGGAATTGTTTGCTTTGTCTGCCATGCTGCTTGGAATCTTTTCCAGGGCTCTGTGGTCTATCTGTGTTTGCTTATGCAAAGATGTGAGGCTGCCCAGCAGTCAGTGTTCCTAAATGCTTCCAGAATGACTGGGCTGGGGAGGGGCCAGGGCAGCAGTAGCAGCCACCAGAGATGCTCCTGCAGTGATCTGAAGCTCCCTCAGCAGCTCTGAGCTGCTGCTCTGCTCTCATGTACTCCAGCACTTGTTTCCTTTCCAGATGTTTACTCACCTATATACACGTTTTCCATCTGGTTCCCTTTTTTAATCACCAGCTTCAGCTTGAGGGAAGAAAAAGAAGAGGTATTTTAATTCAGAGAGACCTGTGTTCTGAGCACCATGGCAAGCCAGAAGTACAGGACTCTGCTGCTTCAGATGGGCAGGCTGCTGCAAAGCACTCATGCCTCTGACAGGCTTTTGGGGCAGTGTCACTGTAGGAATAGGCTCCTGAGGCATTGGGAGGATCTCTGGAAGTCCTTACAAGTGATCAGATTTTTCCCTCCCTCCCCAAGACAGTGTGACCTTTGCTAGGTTGAGCTTTGAACAGCTTTTCAGACTGGGCTAAGTTTCTGTGACACAGGATGTCTTCAGAAGAGAAACAAACAGTGTGCCTGCTGTCTGCTGGCAGTTGCACTCAAGACTGGAGCAGATGATGTTGCAGAGCTTGTTCCTGTGAGATCCAGCTTTCCTCCAGTTCCTCTCACAGCCCCTACTTCCCACATGCCATGTTGCTTGTTCCTTAACTGCACTACAAGCTGAACTCTCTGATGTGGGAGATTTACCTGTAAGAAGATACTTCCCACTTTTTCCAGTTCACTGCTCCCAGCAGTCACTGTGAGTCAGAAAGAAGAGAAGGGAGATAATCTGTTAGCTAAACTGTGAAGTAAGAAGTTAGTGGAGAGCTGCTGGTGGGTTTCCCAACCCCTTCAGTTTATGTTTTAGCTCTATTACCTCCAAACCTCCACTCCATATCCATCAGCTGGTTGATCACCAGTGTCTGACCAACAGCCAGGTGTGCCAGGGTGGGGGAATTCACTTTCCACTGCAGGAGCAAAGACACACAAGCAATCAGTTCTGAGAGGCCTCTGTTCATGTTACCTGTGATCTCAGCACAAGTCAGAAATGAGGCAGACTGATGGCAGGAGCCCAAAGCAGAGCTGTGCAAAGGGGCAAACTAATGGGGCCGGGGGGGCTTCCAAAGCTCCCTGAGTCCCGCTAGGATTTCCATCTGCCTTGTCAATTCCGTAAATGAAACTCACTGGTTTTGTTTTAACACTGCTTCAGTGTAACAGGATCTGCTCAAAAAGTCATGTGCTCATGTAAGTGTGTGACCCTGGGGCTCAAAGAGTGCAAAACAGGAACACGACCAAGTGAGAGACACACAGAAGTGCAGGAATCATCAAACCAGTGAGGCCGAGCCCAGGGCCAACCAGGAATATCATGAGACAAAGTGCTCCTTATCAGTTATCTGAGGATCTTCAGTTCAAAACTCTGAGCTGGTTTTGAAGAAAATACCCAAAGTTCTGACACACCTCAGTAGCACAGCAGGGTTTTACAAGTTCCCACTCAGAAACTGTCATTTTGTTAGCTCAGAGAAAAGAGAAAATGTATTAATACCTGTTCTGCAAAGTAACTGGCTTTCTCTTCACTGAGGCCTGTGGGAGAAACCATGTGAGATTACTACATGTGATAAATATTAATTATCTTTTATTTAGTGGAAGTCAGGTGACCTACCTAGAGCAATAAAATCTGCTCTGACTTGTTCAGAAGACAAATTCCTCTTCAGGGCACCTGAATAAACAATGCACAGAAGAAAAATCACTTTTTACTGAGTCAAACCAACCTTTACTGAGTCAAATAAATGCAGGGTCAGGGACCTGCGAGAGAGAGCCTGTGCTCTGGGGCTGTGTTTTGAAACAAACCACAGCTCCTCAAGGTAGGAAATAGAGTTGTGCCTCCCGGTATCTTTGCAGATGCCCGGTGCTTTAAAAGTCAGGGCTGTGGGAGTGCCTGGGAGAGGGGAGATTTCACTGCAGGTATCCATGGAAACAGCGGCCGCGGTTGTGTTTTGAAGTTGCTGCTTTCTCTCCTATAGACGCTTTTCTTGTTAAAGGAGAACTGTTAAGGCTGGCAGGCTACTAATTTGACCTACCTGCTGTGTTTTGGATTATGGGTGTGAACGTGTGCATATAACACTTTCCCCTGCTGCGCCTGCCTCCTTTGTTCTGGGGCACAGGCAGCACATGGAAGTTTACAAGGATTCTGTTCTCTGAAGCCAAGAGCAGGAATCTCATAAATCCAAAGAGCCTGCCAGCCCCACGTGGCTTCTGTCTGGGCAGCACATCGGCAAAGTTACCTGCTGTCATCTGCTCTGATGCTGTCTGGGGCATCCCAGGGAAAACCTAAAGTTCCATCAGGACTGGAGCCAGGGCACAGACAGGAGTGAGGGGACTGACTGCACCAAGGCCAGAGTTGGGAAGGGAGAAAATGCCAGTTCCACATTAAATACCCTCAAGACAGTTGCAAGAAAGGAAATTATTCATTGTTACTCCTGGACAGAAGAAATGGCTTGAAGTAGAATGAAAGTTCAGAGCAAATGCAGGCAGCAGCTGTGCATGGCCTCAGTGCTGTGCAGAAAGCTGTGGGGAACCCAGGACTGAAGGATAAGAGCAAGGGACTATTAATAACAAGAAGGATCAATGGGATGAGTGTGCCATGGAGGTGTTTGATGCATTATCGTGTCAAATGGCAGCCACAATATCAGTAATCTCATAAAGTGCTGGAGTCCAGGGTATTCAAGGGGAATCCCCCTGCCCCTATTCCCAACTATTTGTGAATGAGAAACTGCTGGACACAGAGGTGTTTTTGTAAAACAAGACTCCAAGGACAGATGTCTGCTTGACATGGCCCAGAGCTATGTCAGTTTCCAGCCTGCAATGCTGCCTTACCTGCCCCAAACAGTGCTTGTCCTTGTAGGAATTACAAGTATTGGGTCACTTGGATGAAAGTTCCTACAAAGACCCAGTGCCAGCAGGAGGCTGTGCTGGTTTGGCACAACGATTTACAGGCACCAGTTAAAGCAAACACTGTCCCAGTGCTGTGCTTGCATTTAATGCACAGGTATTTAAGTGAGTCAAGCCTGTGAAATGTGTGAGGGTGTAAAGAATACAAAGCCAGTCACCAGGCAGGGGTATTTCAACAGGAGGATTTTTGATTCTTAGATGCTAAGCCACCTATTAGCTACCACTGGCACTTCTTGTGCACACCAAGTGCACTGAGGCTCAGAAGAGACACATGCAGGAATGGAGGAACAGCCTGGCCTCAGGGTAGCATTTGCAAATGTCTCACTTACCGTTAAATACCAGAAGAATACTTTTGACAATGTTTTTCAAGGGGCCCAAGCTGATTTTATTCATGATGGCAAAGTCTGAGAGCTGAGTCAGAAAGTTTTCTACCTGTTGAAGAGAAAAAGCAGTGACACAATCTTATCTCTGCATGTTTCTCACCAGAGAACTGCACTCACACCCTCTGCTCAGGGTCCTGCCCCCACCTCTTACCTCCTTGGGCTCCCTCAGAAAGCAGAAGAGCAATTCAGTCAGTGCTGAGAATTGCTGTGAAGGAAAAGGACAGTGGTAAGGAGCTGGGCACCACCCTGCTTCATCTCAGCACCCCCAGGACTAGGTGGTGATCATCCACCTGCCTCCTGTACACTGGTGCCAGGGTTTGACTGGTCAGGTACCCCCCTCCTCAGCATTACAAGATGCCTTAGGATGGGATTTGCTCCTGGATGCTTTTCAGAGGCTCTGCAAGGCTCTGAGCAGCTGGTAGCTGGCACTGCACAGGGCTTTTGTGACTTGTGGCTAATCAGAAGCTGCTGTTCTATCCTCTGTAATCCAAAAACACTAAGTGGGGAAAGATGCAAACATCTACTCGTATGTTTCATGATCCCCGTGGGGCAACCGGACTGAACAGGGAAGGGAAAAGAACTGGTTAAAGGTCCAGTCGCTGCCTTCAGGTTCTCAGCCTGTAGGACAGAGCGTCAGAACCCTCCGGCACCGCTGTTTGTGTCCTGGGCGCCCTGGGGCTGCGTGTCCCGCCCTGCCCTGGTCCTCAGCCGCGTCACGAGACAGCCCCGCGCCTCTCCCCGCGGGGGCTGGA